TCCTGCTGATGAAGCATTTCATCCTGAGAATACAGCACAAGTGAGAGATATCACAGAAAGCTGCAAGAAAGGCAGACTCAAGCAGAAAGGCTTTGGGAAATGATGGAAGGATGACGTAGGTACAGAGAGGTGAGGGTGAGAAAAACCTGGCACCAAGGCTAGAAATGAGCAAAAGAAAATTAAGAACTAAAATCTTAGAAGAGGAGGAAGCAGGAGATGGAGAATAACTTCACAGTGGGGAAAGCCAGATCCGTAATTAATAGAATGAGAAATTTATTTTATACAGAAACAAACATAAGAGATCAAGGCCATAGACTGCCTTTGACAAGTCTGCTTAAGAACACAGCTTTTAATTTCTCAGGCTATCCTGAACCACTAACACACCCTAAGCTCAAAAAAGATGTCAGGCTAACTCCCTAACCCATTACCTATCAGCACAATTGTAAGATTAAAATATGCATTTGCATATGGTTTGCCAAGTAATCCTGCTAAATGTTAGTGTATTTCATACCTCATTTAAATAAAATTTGCACATACAAAGCAAAACACTAAATTCATCTAACATTATTTGTGATTATGATGGTGCATCCCACAACAGCCTGCAGAGATCCAGCCAAATGACATTTCTGAAAACTATGATATCATGCCACCAGTAAAAGTGCAGTATAAAGCATTCTGATGACTTACACATTACAGATTTCTTCTGATGTGACTGTTCTGCACTTTTATGAATATGAGTTCTGATGTTCTGCCAGCAACAAAACTTTTTCCATTCCCACTTTTCTAACTTAGGGATATCAGGATGTTATCAAGTCCAAGCATGGTATCTGAAGTGTTTGAGTGTTTCCATGCCTTAATTAGTATTTCTCAGCTTGCTGACTACCACATGAAACTGCAGCCTCATTTTTCAAGACTCACTTAAAAAAACTTCTCTAATTTATTTATTTTAGAGCACTGCTAATAAAGAATCCTTTCATTTTGAGAGAAGCTTAATGTAATAGCTTTGAGGATGTGCTGGAACACCAACCATGATAGTGTAGCAACTATTCTGTAATTTATTACACTGCACAGAGGACACAGTCAAAACAGGCAGTGCTAACAACAGAATTTTCCAAAACAGGGAAGAGAAGAGTCATACAGGTTTGGGGACTGAAGCAGGCAAAGGAGAACTCAGTTTTATTTTCTTGTAAAAATTGCTCTGAAAAATATCAATTTAATGGAAGAAACCAGAGTCAGCACAAGATTTAAAATGCAGCCTTCTTTCCTGAGGTGTTCACTGATCGTTGGAGTCAAATGGATACTAAATTTAAAAAACCCTCAAATTATATTTAAGTGATGAGAGTGACAAATATTACTATGATTAAAAAAAGCTTCTCCAAGTCTTCATCATCATTTTATTAGCTCTTTAGAACCACAAGAGCTGACATACAAATGGGATAAGATCTTCAGTGTATGTAGACCACATTGAAAACTTTTTTGAGCAATTCTATAGAATGACCAATTCTATATTGGAGTTGTTCAGCCTGAAGAAGAGAAGGCTCCAAGAGACCCTCATAGTGGCCTTCCAGTACCTGAAGGGGGCCTACAGGAAAGCTGAGGAAGGACTTTTTACAGGGACTTGCAGCGAGAGGACAAGGGGTAATGGCTGTAAACTGAAAGAAGAGAGATTTAGGTTAGAGATCAGGTGGAAATTCTTCAGTATAAGGCTGGTGAGACACTAGAACAGTCTGCTCAGAGATGTTGCGGGGGCTTCATCTCTGGAAGTGTTCAAGGGCAGGTTGGATGGGGCTCCAAGCAGCCTGTTCTAATGGGAGGTGTCCCTGCCCAAGCAGGGAAGTGAGAACTCGATGATCTTTAAGGTCCCTTCCAACTCCAAACATTTGGTGATTCTGTGATTTTCTTCCTAATCTTGTAAATCTAACATTTCTTCATATTATTTCAGTCATAGTCCCACCTAAACTATAAACAGCTATATATTGCAAGTAAAGATCCAAACTATTTCAGAAGAATCGTGCAAAACAAATGTTCCTTGACAGACAACACAAGATAGACATCTTACCAGTCTGTTTATACGAACAAATTCTTCTGGGGTTTTGGCCCATGGTGGAAGTTCAACATCAGACACCACTGTTCCATCATCCATCACTCCCAGATTGTAATTGTTGCTGTTGACAAATATCTCTGGGAGGTAATAGAATTCAGGAATCAATTCCTGTATACACAAATGAAAAACAATGCCATGTTATAAATTCTGTCAGAGCATGCACTTTGTCATGTTAAAAAAAATAATTATTATTATTAGCATAGCATTAGGCAAAGAGAGTATACAGACATCCACCCCCCTCCCCTCCAGAATAGGAAAATCCCTACCTTCATACTTTCTAAAATTGAAGCCTTTAAATACGAAAAATCCTTGCACTTTTAACATGACAGAACTAAAACACAACAGGCTATAAAACAAAGAAGTCAGAACACTGGTTTTGATTGCATATTATGTACAGAGAAACTTAAAAAACTAAAGTAATGAACATCACATGGTACAATAATATTTAGTGACAGACAACCAAGGATGTTAAGAAGTTGGGGAAAACCGCTTTTTTCCACATCTTGTTACAATCCCCATTTTTAAGTGCTAATGCACAAATGGCAGGCCATAGTTTGGGTGAAAGTAGCACCATACGTATTCATTACAAAGGTGTAAATAACAGTTAAATTCTTATTCTTTCTAACATAAAGGGTCTAAGACCTTAACGTTTAGGCTACTATCTAAGATTGTTCAATGCTTGGAAATTTATTTTTTTTTTTAAGTTATACCACATTTTCAGAAAAAAACACACAAAGCTGAATCGAGTCAATATTTTTCTTTCATAGAAAGGTCATTAACTCAATTATGTGTCCAGTCTATAATTACAGGGAAGAATCATGCATAATTACACACTCACACACACAAAAGAAGGAAGGAATTTCACATGGTTACAAGGTCTGTGGATGCACTGAATTCTTTGTCAGGATCATTGCTGCTTAAACAAGTGGGCTCTACAGGCCTGTGCTGAACAGGACCGGAAGGTGGCATTTAACACCTCCATGGCTGGCCCTTCCTGGCAGTTTTGCAGGTAGAGCCTGCTATGCTGAACTCAGCTGAGGAAAAAAACACAAGCACATACAGCAGAGGAATTATAATTTCCAAGTCTTATGAGAAAAGCAAAGTAATACTAATGCCTAAAGAAAGAAAAAATTTAAGCAGATAATGGCACGTTCTAGCACAGAATTGAAAACTATATGTGAGGAAGTAAAATCAAGATCCAAAGGATAAGAATTTTCTCCTGGATAAGTGGAGTGTTTCCCTGTTTTGCAAACAGACATGCAGCTTCATAAATTATCATTTGTTTTGTAAAATATGCACTAGGATATATATAAACATATCTAATTTGATGTGATTGGAACTTAATTTACACACTTTTACAGATGTCTCCAAAGTCCTGCATCACACAATAAAAAAGTCCATTAAGATATAACATATATATTTCTGCGTTTAACATATTTCAAAGATTTTGTTTTGGTTTGGGTTTTTTGGGGGGGAACTTGATGATGAGACTTAGATAAACCAAATAAACCTGGCAATTTGATGGATTTGGAAAACTGAGCCACTAAACTACAGAATTTACTTCCTTCGTAAAGAAAGGATCAATACATGTAATTGCTTCAGGAAGTGTATTTCATAGCAAATGACTGGTGTAAAATTGGCCTTCCATCCAGCAAGTGCAAACTACATGCCACTTAAGTAGCAGGAAAAAAAAAAATCAGACTGCCCTACTGGCTTTGTCTATAGTGGGTGTAGTATGTAGCTACGTCAGAAGCTCAGTAGATCAGACCTGAAACCCAGTCTTGACATGGGTCAATGGATCAGTGGTCTCCCAGATAGCCCCTCAGGGCCAGCTATGGCATGAGCAGCTTTCCAAATGGCTGAGTGTAATAGGGAGGTCATCAGATTGTGCACAAGGTCAATCCGAAGTAGCCAGGGCAAAGACAGGAAAGATCAAGCAGGAATTAAGCTATTATCACCTCCATTCTTGTGTGAAAAACTCCTGGCTTTGAATTGTACATCTTTTTGTTTACAGTCACCTTAATTAACTAGGCAGGGTAAAACCATTCTTCTGTACCAAATGCTTGACAAGTACTTGATAAAAAGAGATTTGAAACTATTTAATTGGATAAGTGAAAGAACAAGAACATATCAAGGAGAAAGGTTTGCAAAAAGAAAGTACTCCAACACTGATTTTTCTGTAGTTTTTATCATCATCAGACAAACTAACAAAGAAAAAGCAGAGGTGCTGGACTATTAATTTGATAGCAGCAGGCACCACAAATATGAAATCATACTATGATTCTGAATACTTAAAACATAAGCTCATTACATATGGTACTGATGTTTTTATTTATATATATATATATATCTGTACAGCTATTCATTAGTTTCTTTTAAGATCAGAAAGCATTTGGCTTTCCAGAACACACATTGTTTTCATTAGATTACACAGGAACAATATGCTGTCTGGAAACTTAAAAATTCTAAGTAACTTCTGTTAGTTTGACTATTAGAAACTTCATAAAACTTATTTCATTACTACAGAAATGAGTTTGCAGGCAGTTTTTCATGACACCATCATGATTCATTTTTACAAAAGAAGCTTCTTTATTACCTGATTTTCTTATATTGACCATTTACACATGGGAAAATGCAGTGTAAACACATACACTGGGTCATTCTAATGGAGCAGTATTTAGCACCAGTTTCCAATGGGTGAAAATGACCACATTAACTAAAGGCCAACAGCTTTCCTAAAACCAGCAAATAAGCCTGATAATAAAATATATAATTTTTATCAAGTTTACAAATATTCTTCATGTATTTGGTAACTGCAGTAATTAGTAGGCCTTTTCAACTCGATTTACTGAGTCTTCTCCTTTTTTCTTAAGATATTCACATTACATGCATTGATTGATACATAAACAGCAGGTGCTGACTCATACTTAACTCCATTAATAATGGAACGTTTTGTACACCTGAGAACTTAAAAAATATTAATTCATGCACATTTTGCTTGTTTTTTAAGGGGGGAACAAAGGAGTTACTTGTGGTTTCACACAAGTACCACATGAAGATGGAGGACCTGCCATGAGGAATCAGGCTGTAGGACCACTTAGTATCTTACCTGGAACAGTGACAAGGACTGGAAGACTAACACAGGGCAAATGCAGTCTTTCCACAGATATTCTACCAGTTTCTTACACTTACATGGTTTTGAACTCTGTGCTTCTGATTTTTAAAATCATTAATCATGTCTTCCATACTGTAGTTTCATCTACAAAGGTTTTCTTTTGGCTATTCTAAAACTGTTCCCTAACAGTACCAGTGGATGGTTCTAGCACCCATATTATGAAAAAGAGTAAATACTAATTCCTTATTCACTCTTCTATACATTATAGACCTATAGAATCACATTATTCCTCAGTGGTCTCTGCAAGCTAATGGTTTCTACTAACTTTGATTTGGTCCCTCTGGAGGTCTTCCCCTCTGACTACTCATTTTGGTTGCCTTCATACTTTTTCTAATTCTACTGAACCTTGTCTGGAACTTTACACACAGTAATGGTAGAATTGTCCCACATTGCTTTTTTTAAATAAGATTTTACAGAATAATGAAAGATCTGTATGATTTGTTGAAGCTCTTGCTTTAGCACAGTTGTCTTGAAAATGAGTTTCAGAAATGCCTGTTGCAATTCACCAGTTCCATGGGGTAGAGACCGACATCCTTATGATAAGCAATATTTCACTCTTTCTGCTGTGTTTTTGATGTCATTCAAACTGATGAAGAAGTTCACAGAGAATATTAATATGAATCAAACACACAATATTTCTACTGGTATATTATTTTTTAAAAAATTAAAAGTGTCATATCAGGATTCTTATTTAAAAGCTTATAAAATTCTTCATTCTACCAACTATTGCCCTTTACCACATGGAGACAAAAATTCCTAAGTAAACTTCACTAATTTTTTATTTATTTTTTTTTACAAACATGTGAAATCTACAGAATGTCAGTTTAACACTGGTAATTTATTTTCATGTTTGCCACCACACATAAAAAATCTACACAGGATACACTATTTCTTTAATGTAATCATATGTTATTTTCTTCTTTTGTTTAGAAAACAATAAACAGATGCATTTTCAAGCAGAGTTACATGATCTGCAAAGGTGTCTAGGAACAATGACACAGATTGCCTAACCATATTAAAGCATTTATAGGATACCAGATTTTTAAACTAAATTATTTCACAATCACATTAAGCAATATTAAGCCTATCTATAACCTGTCAAGAAGAATAATAAAAGTGTGTATTAGAAGTCTAGGTTTTTATTCGCATTGCCACACTTTATTTTTTCTGTTAGGGGACTCCAATGGCATTCTAAAATATATACTCATCTATTAAATAAATTTAAATTTCATTTTTTCATCACACTTCAATGTAATAATTTTCATGACTGTGGGAAAGTATAATTCTATGTACCTGTGAGTTTCCCTCTATCTGCTATGTGTGTGCTGTTTCTCACAGAATTAAGAAATTGGCTCAAGACATTGCCTGAAATTCTCAAAACTTTTAAGAAAAATACTTGTGCAGGCTTCCATTAAAATTCTAAATTGAATTAATGAAGAAATTAGTCTTATTGATGCATAATAATCCTGTTAAACTTCTAAGATATTATATTTCAAATACTTCCTAGCTGCAGAAAAATATTAAAATGTTCAGTAATTTAAAATTAAGGAAAAAAAATTATAAACAACTCCAGGTATTTATTTAATTAATGTAGCTTAATGAAATATATAAGTACAATTAGTAGTTGATTCACTATTGATGAATAAGTAGCTTTTATTAAGTCAATACTTTATTTAATTAAAAATGCATTTTTAATGCACTTTAAATCCTGTCAATACACATCTTCTATGTACACAAAATTATTTTACTTTTTATTTATGATATATGTAAAAGTATGCAGTGGAATTTATTCACCACATTTATATACTATGTAATATGCTGTTCAGGTTAATTTGACAGAGAAAGAGTAAACTATGTTCCTTTCCTCTATTTTTTAAAATCAACTGGTGGTTAAAATAATAAAAAGATCTAAATGAAATCTTGAAGGTCACCT